ATTACCTTACTTACCTGTGGTCATATATTTCATCGAGATTGTATCGAAAGTTCTATTAAAATCAGTTCAAAATGTCCAAAACAAAATTGTGAGAAAGAGATAGAATCTGTAGTTGATAGCATACCTGGGAGTCAGGATCCTGATTTAATGGTTATGTCACCTACAATATTTAAAAGCCCCATAATTACCCAAACAAGTGATACACCAAAAAAGCGTACTGGAGATTACATATTATTTCCTAATAAACCATCTAACAAAAAAACAAAACAGATAAAAAAGAATCGCTTATGATAAAGAAACTTATTAAAGAATTATCTACTGAGCCTAATACTCCACTAGATCCTATAACTAGAAAAGAAAATGCAAATAATTTTGTTGATTTGTATAATAATATAACCTATGCAGAAACTCAAAATGAAATTATAAATCAGGATATTGTAACCAGTTATTATCTTTTCGGTAAAGCACTTATTGATAGATATGAATATTATAAATCAAATAATCCAAAACATACAGCCCAAGCATTAGTTAATAAAGAAATTAGTAAGCAACTTCCTAGTATAATTAGTAATACTTTATTACGAAAAAGAAAAGAAAGAGCACAAAAAATTTATAATTTATTTAGTGAAATTGGAGAAAATAAAATTCAATATCTTAAATCAATTTCAGCTTTATCAATTTCAAAATTAAGTCAAGATGAAATTGATACTATATTAGTTCATTTTTCTCAAAAATAAATATTTCAAATATGTAGTACGTGACCCATAGGTCACAATATCATGTGATTACTATGCTTAGACATGCATATCTAGTGTAATAAATACAAGTATAATTTATTTGTAATCGATTTTTTTTGAAATAAATTAACACACTAAAATTGAATCATATATTCATAATGTATAAAGTTATTAAATTCAATAGGTCTAGACTTGAAGAGTCATTGATTCGCAATAAATCTCTAAATAGGATATAAATCATATAATCTCTAAAACGCACTATAATAAGTCATAAAATGGTTAGCATAAACACTCATGGAACTGATTGTACTGATGCTGAATGGATTGAATATTGTAATATGCCCCAAATTCATAATAATGAAACTCCTAGTGAGTAGATGAAACGAATTTGGGAACGGCTTACATATTTCAGGAAGAATAATCTATTACCTAATGAAAGTAAAAAATATCTTAAAGCTAGAAGATTAATACAATTGCCAAATAGTGGTTTATATGCTCCTGAAATCGGAATAGCAATATGTTTCTCTTGTGATCAGTTAGTATATACTGGACAAAGAAAGAAGAATATAGGAAATTATAACCATATAGGAATGGAGCGACATTGGAAATTTTCATGTATCGATAATAAATACTGTGGTGTAAGTTATGATGAGTACTTACTAAAAGTCAAGAAAAAATCTATTTTAGGGTATAATTATGATAATGAATATGAATTACACAGATATGGATTATGGATGCAGAATGCTATCAAAAAGACCAAACGTGCTAGAGAAATTGGTAAGAAAATTCGAGCATGTATATTAATACAACGTAAATTCATTGAATATTATTATCGTCCTGATGGTCTCCATGCTACAGAACTCGCTCAACATTTCAAATTATTATGGATGATTGAGAAGAAATGCGTCAAATTAATAATGTATAATATATATATTTATTTGATTTATTATTATTTATATAACTTATTAATATATAAAGTCGGTAACTGTTATCAAAATGGTTGGTGGTTTTTATATTTTTTTTAAAAATTATAATTTCTCACGAAGTGAGGATGCTTTTTATATTTTTTGAAAGATTATAATATTTCATGAAAATATATTTCATATAATTACATGGTTTTTCACGAAAGTTATTCATATCTTCTTATTCAACTACCACCTTCATTAATAAAAGCTGGATGGAATCGGCTTAAAACTCGAAAAAAAAATCCATTATCAGAAAGTGAAGCCAGTAGTATTAGCCCTATTATAGAGGCATTTTTAAAACATG